TCTGGGTGATATTATTGGATACATGGGCGTTTCATTCAGTACATGCGTTAATGCGTTAAAACATTTTAAGGTGTAACCACTGTCCTTACACCCGAACAACTCTGAAACCCAGTGGTAAAATGTGAGAAACCTCGGAAAAGTCCACCTTGAGAGAGGGATCCGCTCCCACAGATGGACAGGCAGGTGATCCAGGACTCAGGCTGTAAAACGAGGACTAACCCTAACCCAGTGTAGGACTGTGGCAGCTCCAGGCAGGGAGGGGGTGCAGCCCACGTTTCGGGCCGGGCAGGACAGTCCGCAGGTGCAGATGGAGAAGGTTCAGGGTCCCATCATCACGCCATGAAACAGAAACAGACAATGGGAGCAGAAAGTTACTTAACTGGTGGTATCTTGATGCTACTGTCACTTTACTGCACTGTTTTAAAAGTCTATTGGGTTTACTTAGTGCACTGTTATGTGGATTACTTTTTATTTATGCCTTTTTACTTTTACAACTTGTTTGCACCGAGAACCAATGCAATTTCCAAGTTTGTGACTTCTGATTCTGTTTTGACAAATCCAAACAAAAACTCTGCAGCAGTAGTTGGATTTTTTTTAATACCTGTAACTTTGTCCCTGAAAAAAACAGAAAACTCATTGCACCTGGATGTAGATTTTAAGCTTTCTTACTTTGATGGACGCACTGTGATACCAGGAGCCACAATGGAACAACTGAGGCTCTACAATACAAAGCCATTATTGTGTCTTTAGGCAAGACACTTCACCCACACTTCCTTGGATGCATTTGTGGGGGTTTTGTCAGGCTTATATTATATTAGGCTCACTTAGTTAAACAACATATCTTTGCCTGTTTTACAAATTCTCTCAAATCTCTCTCCACTCAATGAACTCCTAACAAGTCCATTGTTCGCCTGCGTCTCGCTTTGCTCTTTCTGGGTTAACTTCCAGCTCAGAGCCAGCTCAGGGCAGACTACGTCCTCTGCTGCTACTGTACTTTCAACTTTCCCTCTAAACGCTATGTTAATGCAGGCCCTGGCTTTCTCTCATGTCTCTATAGTCGCTAATGGTCCACTACCAGCAGCACCCGACCCCCCCTTACCCCGGCTGCAGCCTCCTCACACCCCCCTCTCCTCTGCCTTTCTGTCAGTCTCTCTTCCCCGGGCTGGAGGCGTCCCATTTCACTCCACTTTTCTTTTTTTTTTTGAGTCACAATGCTGCTCTGGCTGCTGCCGAGGGTGCATGGATGAATGGATGGGGGTGCACTGCAAAAAAGAAAGAGAAAAGAAATTCAGATGACACAATTGCACCGTAATATTGTAAGGACTTATACTTAGTTATAGTTTGACCACACACTTTGATGTCTATTGTGTGCAACGAATGCCCTTTTCTTTAGTTATAACAATTGTAATTATTTATTTTAATCAATTCATATTTTTGGAATGTATGTAGATTCTTATTATGCCTTACTCTATTCTCTCCTTCTCTGCTTTTGACTTGTTTGCACCGAGAGCCAAAGCTATTTTCTAATCTGTGACTTCCTGCTTACTTACATGGAAATACAAAATAATTCTGATGAAATGAATGAATCAATGTTGTTGCATATTATTATCGTGACACATTTCACGATATGCTGTACTCCCATAGTATCAAGACCAAAAAGCTGATGTTTCTAATGATGTGTTTGACTCATAGTTTTCTGCTTACAGAGGATTTAAATTGGATTAAATGCACAAAAAGTGAGTTTGAGTTATTTTATTATTATGATTATTTGTCAGTTGAGCTAGTTATTGTAAATTAGTTCATGGAAAGGTCAATCCTTGAATCCATAGATACTTTATTGACCCCCGTAGGAGATGGTTGAGTCTTAATGTTACAGTAGCTGATGTTTTTCCTTGTCCAATCAAATCAGTTATATTTAGATTCTTATTGTTGTTGATAATGTTTTTTTGTTTTGACAGTGAAGATTTAGCTGCATGATTCCATAGAGATAAAAAGTATGGGGGGGAAAACATACGAAAGATAAAAGATTAGAGCCGCACAACGATAAAAATCCAGTTGAAATTTGAACATGGTTTTATACTTGTTTCTCTGCAACATTCACAGTAAAATATGTCTGCTCCGACCACAAGACTTAAAACCTTCGAAGGTTTTCTTGAATGTAGGATCTGCCCCTCACATTCAATCTGATCCTTTTGTGGAGGGTTTTAAGTCTCGTCACAAGACCAACTTTTATTTTCTGACATTTAATTCTATTCTATGTTGTTTTACTAAATGGCTATTTCTATATCTGTGTCTATATCTATGTGATTTAATGATTTTACTTACTGTGGATTTGTGGGTTAAGGTTAGTCCTATACATGCTATCAAACTGAATTATACTGCTTCAAAATTAGGTCCTCAATAAGCCGTCACAGCAACCACAAAACAGTAGTATTACCATTTGTATTTATAGTATCACAAAGTAAACTCGTTATGGTATCTTTCCAAAAAAAATAAAAAAAACTCGTTTGCTTCTAGCTCCTTTTGATCCGCTTTAATTCACGTCTCATCCACTCAGTCTGAGCTGGTTTTTGCAGTGCTTTAGACGCCAGTGATAGGTGGTATTTGTGACTGCCTCTCCTCCTCCCCCCTCCTCATATCTCTGCTTCTCTGCCTCTCTCTCTCTCTCTCTCTCTCTCTCTCTCTCTCTCTCTCTCTTCAGCTCTTTGCGGAGGAAGCAGCCCCTGGTCTGAGTTTACACTTGCGGAGCAGACGAGCGCGGGCGAGGATGACTGCGCTCCTGGTGCACTGAGACGACTGAGCGAGCGAGACCCTGGATCCGGCTTTTTGTGAGTCCCACCTCTCTCTCTCTCTCTCCCTTTGCCCATGAGCACTTCATTTCAAGCACTTTGCACGCTGGGTTGTTGTGATCCTTGGAGAAGTTTGAAGAAATGAGTTAGTCACCACAGATTTGATGGGTTTGAAGTTGATTTTGAATGAATGGGGAAGTGTCCATGGACTTAATTGTGACTTAACACTTGATTATAATTTTTCTATAACTTGTCTTTAAAGCTGCTTATGTCTAAATTCCTTTCACATGTAGCTGTTATAGCATGTTCTAATCACCTTGTGGGGTTTTATGTATAGAAACAATACAATATCTATGACAACATTCAGTTATTAGCTATTAAATCTGATAAAGGTTGCCTGGAATGCACCACTCATTCATTATTAAGTATTTTTGACATTGCTCTATAGTCTTCTACTGATATGCAATTATGCACATATGCTTGGACAAATTTTGAATTGAATTACTGGCCTTTTGCTTGATAACCTCCTCTTCTCTCCTGTGTGTAGAGAAATGCATGTTCAGTGAGGTCTAAATTGCTTCATAGTGATGCAGGCTTCAATGCCCGGTGATTGGCAGCATAATGGTCATATCGAAGGGCTATAATTAAGGCCGTGATTGGTCGACGCGTATGTAGAGTGTTACCTAGGCTGCTGTTAGTGCCTCTTAAGAATGTCTTTTTCATTCATCAAAGCGTCTTTTGTAATCGTACCTAATGTTTTACTGGCCCCGGCTTCAGAGGCCGCAGTAACTCTCGTCTTTACTGCAAACACCTGGATGCCAATTATGCTTTTTTTAACACTGAAACTTTTCCGCTGCCTTTGCTTCTTTTTCCCCTTGGTTGTTTCCCCCAGAAAAATATACGTGTTAAATAGATTGAGGCCAGAACTACATTTGTGTTAATGTTGGGCCTTGAGCAGGAGCTTGAGAATATTTGAGAGAATATTTGAAAATCTGTAAAATGTGTCATCTTTGGACATAGTGTCACAGTTTTAAAAGGCATTATTTAGCACTAAAATTCTAAACATGATCTAGTTCTCTTTTTTTCTTAGTGTAAAATGTATATGATTGTTGAAAACATGTGAGCTAAGATCTACTATTCATTTTGACCCAAGAAATAAGACAATAAGTGTCTTCAGTGTAAGCATGAAGGTTTGAGCCCACCACAAGACCTCCTTTATCAACTCCCACTGATGTCTGCTGACGTTGTGTCCTTGGGCAAAACACTTAGCCCCACTTTACTTGAAGCCCCTGCTGAATGATCAAGGCTATGCCCTCTGCCCATCCTCCTGTGGACTCACCTCCTGCAGGAGGAGCAATGAGGGGCTGGTGCTCTGGCTGCCACCGCCCAACCCAGAAATGGATTAATGGGAAAAGATGTATGGATTGATGGATAAATGATATTTCAGATAACAGATTGATAACAGATCTATGGCATTAATCAATGTCATACCATCTATCAATCCAACTCTTGAGATTCTGGTGGCTGAGAGGGTAGCATTCATGCCTCACTGCAAGAAGGTTGTAGGTTGGATCCTGTGTCGACCTGAGCCTTCTCTGCCTCAGGATTCTTCAAGATCCTTTGTTGTCCCCCACCTCCCAATATCATGCACCGTACTTTTTGCAACATCCTCCAGGCCCCAGTAGTCCTGACCGGTCCTGATGGTCTCTGGAGGCCCCACTGCTCCTGAAACTGGCCCAATACCCTCTGGGTCCAGTCTAGTGCGGTCCAGTTTCACCCAAACCCACATTCTAGTTCCAGTCAGTGAACACATAGGACACATTTTCTGATGGAGACAATAGAGTGTGGCCATTGTAAGTAACAGAAAGTCACAAAATAGAAATTTGCTTTGGCTCAAGGTGCATTGGAACATAAGAAGAAGGTCCCTTATGTCGAAGACACATATACACATCAATGCATGCAGCGAACATAACTTCTGCGCTCCTTTTGGCAAAGTGTCTTGCCCAAGGACACAACAACAGCAGACATCAGTGGGAATCGATGGAGAAGGTCTCGCGGTGGGCTCGAACCCACCACTGTCGCCCCAGATACTGTGACCCACAGAGCTGCACGTGTATCACTTTTTGAGACCCTCTGGCTGTAGTTTGATTCCAGTCATTCCACAGTCACCTCTGGTCTACACTGATGCTGCTCCCCACGACGCACGCACTGTTACTGAAGAGCAAAGGAGGAGGGAGGGGAAGAGGAGGGAGGGGAAGAGGAGGGAGGGGAAGAGGAGGGAGGGGAAGAGGAGGGAGGGGGGAGGGAGGTCGGAGGGAAGGGGAGTGCAGGAGAGCCAGCTATGGGAACATCTCCAGCCCTGACGGTGACAAAGAGAAGGAAATCATACTATTGATTTGTTACTGTGTATAGTTTTAGTTCTTACAGTTTGCGACAACAAATACTGTGGAAAAGTATCATAGTAAATCGGTCTAAACTACATTTTCTCTGGTACTTTTGGATTTTCAATTGTTTTATTGGACTCACTCCTTCACTGTATCCAACAGATCAGTGAGTGGATGCAAAACAACTTCCTTCAGCTAAACGCAGACAAAACTGAAATGATTGTCTTTGGTCCCCAGAAACAAAGAGAGAGCGTCATCTGTCACCTACAGTCTCTCTCCCTAAAACCTTCAAACAAGGTCAGAAATCTAGGGGTAATACTGGACTCAGACTTAAATTTTAATAGCCACATCAAATCAGTAACATCAGCAGCTTTTTACCATCTAAAAAACATTGCCAGGATCAAAAACATAGTGTCTAAAGCAGACTTGGAGATTCTTATCCATGCATTTGTCTCCAGTAGGTTAGACTACTGCAATGGCCTGCTCACAGGTCTGGCCAAACAGGCTGTAAAACAGCTGCAGTACATTCAAAATGCAGCAGCTCGAGTCCTGACTAGAACCAGGAAGTACGACCACATTAGTCCGGTCCTCAGGTCCCTGCACTGGCTTCCTGTGGCTCAGAGAATAGACTTTAAAACAGCTCTGCTTGTGTACAAATCTCTCCATGGCCTCGCACCAAAATATATTAGTGACATGTTAGTACCATATGAACCAGCCCGGACTCTGAGGAGCACAGGGACTGGACTCCTGTTAGTGCCCAGAGTCAGAACTAAACATGGGGAGGCTGCTTTTCAGATTCATGCTGCTAAAATCTGGAACAGTCTTCCTGAAGATGTGAGACAGGCCTCCTCTCTGACTGATGTTTAAGACAAGGTTGAAAACAGTTCTGTTTAGCTGTGCATACAACTGAGGGATTTTATATTTTTATCTTTTTTTTTATGTACTGTGATTATTTATGATTTTAATGCTTTCTTGTTCTGTTCAGCACTTTGAATTGCCTTGTGTATGAATTGTGCTATATAAATAAACTTGCCTTGCCTTGCCTATTTAAATTAGCCGTGAAATACAGGGCCTTTCACGCCTGTAATGATAAAGAACGCAATTATGATTTTCAAACAGATTCTCAAATCAAGGCCTTTTCCTTAATTCATGCAATTTCTTTGTCATTTTAATCGGTTACTTTGTTTTTACTTTGGTTCTTAAGAAAAATGCAGTCTTTGCGATATTCAATTTGCGCCATCTTTGTCCCAAAAATGACTGAACTCCACATGGTTTTCGTGCAAATGGAAAACATTTGGACTATGGCGTTTTTGAGACGAACCATGTGATTCACTATTGACCTTTATGGGCCCTGAGACGAACCATGTGAAATTAAGTAACAATGTAAACCATCTCGGATTTTCCTTGTTATAAAACAGTTTGGTTCAATCAGTGCTCAGCCCAAAGAGTCAAATAGTGACTCACAAGGATCTTTCCTCAAAATATTCAAATGTTTTCAAATCAGGTACAGAAATCATTACGGTCTGAGTTGTTTTCCACGCTCCCGATAGGCAAAGCTGGGTAAAGTGTCTTGCCCAAGATCACAACGAAGGCAGACAGCAGTGGAGAAGGTCTTGTGGTGGGCTCGAACTCATGACCTTCAGGTTCAAAGGCCCAATGCTCTACCAACTGAACCACTGTCGCTACCGCATCAATGACCTTCCTCAGATCTCTCCTTCCTGTCTATAGAATACAAGACCTCATTCTCTTCCCGTTCCCGTCACAGAACACACACAGACGCAGCCGCACTCTTCTTCATGTTCTACGCGCTGCTACATTTACTGCTGATATATAGATGTTTATTCCCGTGTCGAGGACAAGACGTGTGGGCAGAGAGATAAGCGCCAACAGCGAAGCGAACCCACTCATCACTCCACACTTTGACAACGCTAGACACAATAACATTTTTATCAGATTTAATCCCCCCCTCCCAACCCAACATTTTTTTATTTTATGTCTTCCAATGAAAGATGAGCGTTGATTATCTGTAGTAGCAGACATGGCGCAGTCTGGGTGGGTCTGTGAATGTGTTATGTTGTTTATGTCACTTGGCCATGCAGATGAGTAGTATAGAGTGGGAACGTGCTTTTGTTTGAACAGCTGTGAGCTCCCGATGCGACCGCAGAGAGCGAAGGCCACAAAGAGAGCGGAGAAGGGGACTGCCGGGTTTGACCCCACTTAGCTCCTCTGCGGGGCTGGTGCCATTAGACCAGGACGGGTTCAGGACGGGGACCGGGACCTGGATTTGTTTTGGTTGAGTTTGAGTTGTTTTGTGATGGGTTTGGGCCTTATGGTTTGTGGTCTGTGCCTGTATGGTCATAGATAGATAGATAGATAGATAGAGAGATATGGAGAAGGGGGCAAGGAGGAGGGAGGAGAGAGCAGGGAGGAGGGAGCAGGGAGGAGAGAGGATGGAGGAGAGAGCAGAGAGGAGGAGGGAGGAGGAGAGAGCAGGGAGGAGAGAGGAGAGAGGAGGGAGGAGAGAGGACGGAGGAGAGAACACAGAGGAGGAGTGAGCAGTGAGGAGGAAGTAGGGAGGAGAGAGGAGGAAGCAGAGAGGAAAGAGGAGGGAGTAGAGAGGAGAGAGGAGATAGATAGATAGAAAGATAAGATACTTTATTGATTCCCATACGAGAAATTCAGGAAATTCCATCCAAATAAACAAATAAATACAGGATTTTAAAAGTTTCTAAAAGTCCACAGTTCTCTCCATCACAGAAACACATTTCCTGATCAGTTGTTCGAGCCAGTTACTGTCCCTCGAGGTATTCATAACTTTTGGTCGTGTTAAGTTGCACTGTGATGGGAGATAAGGAGGTACAGTAAAAGCCTTTTGTTGTGTTTTTGTGCATAATTGTTAAGTCCTGTTAGAGTTGGGCTCATTTACATATTCAATTTGATCTTCAAAGACACTCGGAAAACAAACAATTAGTGGAAAGTGTCATTGGAGAAATGGAAGCAAATAAATGTACTCATGTTGTAGCAGTCTGGCTGTAATACTTCTTGAATTGCTAAAAATGAAACCTATTTGTATTTTCTATTGAATTCAGTATTAGTCGTGTTACCCCTCAGTCTGTCGTTCTGGACCTGGTTTACTGAACTCATGTATGCACCAAAACTGGGCTTTGACCTGCTCTCCTCCCTCTCCTCTAAACACCACTGTCACAGGAGGAGGAGAGAGGAGGGAGGAGGCATCAAGGAGGAGAGGGGAGGGAACAGAGAGGAGAGGAGGGAGCAGAGAGAAGGGAGGAGAGAGGAGAAAAGAGAGGAGGGAGCAGAGAAGAGGAGAGAGGAGAAGAGAGGAGGGAGCAGGGAAGAGAGCGAGGAGAAGAGAGGAGGGAGCAGGGAAGAAAGAGAAGAGAGCAGAGAGGAGAGGAGAGGAGAGATAAGGGAGCAGAGAGGATGGAGGAGGAAGCAGGAAAGAGAGAGGAGAGAAGAGGAGAGAGGAGAGTGCAGAGGGGAGGGAGCAGAGAAGAGGGAACAGAGATGAGAGAGGAGGTAGAAGTTTCAGGTAGTGGCTGTTTCTGAAACATTTGACTATTCTTCAAATGCTACATTCACATCAAAGAGATGGAACTCTGCGTTAAGTTAGCTACAATTAGCTGTTTGGTGAAGTCTCTCCAACATTAGCTTGTCTTCTGCCTGCCTGCTGTACTGATGCTGTACTGATGCTGTACTGATGCTGTACTGATGCTGTACTGATACTGCACTGATGCTGCACTGATGCTGCACTGATGCTGCACTGATGCTGCACTGATGCTGCACTGATGCTGTACTGATGCTGTACTGATGCTGTACTGATGCTGCACTGATGCTGTACTGATGCTGTACTGATGCTGTACTGATGCTGTATCTCTGTTGTTTGTTCAGTTTCTTATGAAAGGCAAACAGAGCAGATCTTAGTTTGTGAACATTTTCTCCATAATAATGAGCGTTTGACGTGTTTTAGGTTTTAAGGTTGTAAGTAGGTTTTTGTCAGTATTTGTGCATCAGTCTAGTGCAGCTGCAGTATGTGACATCACCTGATTTACAACGTTTAAACAGTGAATGGATTTTGACACATTTCTGTTGCCAAACAAAGGTTGTGTCCTTAGGCAAGGCCTGTGTGTGTGTGAATGGTGGTGGTGGTGGGAGCGGCCGATGCCACAGACTAGTAGCTTCACTTCTGTCAGTGTGCCCCAGGGCAGCTGTGGCTACAGTAGTAATTTATCACTAGCGTGTATACTCCATACATGGTGCTGATAAAACTGAAGCAATAAAACCCTGTGGCTCAGTTGGTAGAGCATCCAGAAGGCCGTGGGTTCTATCCCGAAACCTTCTCCACCAGACTGATGTCTGCGGTCATTGTGTCCCTGGGCAAGACACTTAACCCCTCTTTGCCTGAAGCCCCCGCTGAAATATCAAGGCTATGCTTTCCCCGATAGAGCAGCCAGGACTCACCACCTGCAGGAGGATCAGGGAGGGGCTGGTGCAGCTCTGACTGCCACAACAACCATGACAAAAGAAGACCCAGAAATGGATTAAGGGGAAGGAAATGGATGGATGGATATTTTCACAAAACAAGAATGAAACCCACATATTGTCCTGTGAATATCCGACAACAGAGGGTACATCCTGTGTCTGGATGTGATTCAAAAAGGAACTTTACAAACATCTCTTCACTGAAGCTGTCCACATTCATCGGCATTCATTGGGTATTGTGACATCATCTTTGCTTGCGCCAAAAATACAGGGTGTTAATATTCACAATGAAGAGGAAGACAAAGAAGGAAAGAGGGATCAAAATTTACTTTTGGTGTCACCGTCTTCCTTGTCTGGTGCCTTTGTGGCTCTGAAGGTTCCTTCCTCAATGCTCCCTAAAGGAAGCTGCCTACAGATTACACTGGGTGCCGTCCTGCTCCACCCAAAAGGCTGCTCCACCTCTGCTGCTGTGACCTGAAGGGCTGTTGCTGATCTAATATACATAACTCAAACACACTCCACTTTCAGCATGTAAACAACAAGGGGCAACTGCAACATGGTTCAAAGTGGGACACGAGAGACAGAACTTTTCCTTTTCTCACCACAACTCGTCCTACTTTATACGATTTACTACGACTTTGTTTACTACGACTTGACTTTTATGAGTGGATTCATGCATGTTTCAGTATTCATAAAGTTTTCATCCACCACTTTGCACTTTGTGTGATGAAAACTGACACATGACTCTGGGCCATATGTAGGAGTCAAATCATCCTTTTACAACAACCATAAAGAGCCGGAGCCTATTTTTGTGCCAACTTCACCTTTTGTTTTCTTTAATAACGTGCTTCCATTTTGACTTTTACCCAAATCATGTCTTTTTTTTTTCAATTCGAATATTAGCTGAAACATAGATGCAAGAACAGATCAAAATTAATATTAAGATGAAGAGATCCTTTATCTGTCCCACAGCCGGGAAATGCCAGTGTTGCATCGCCAGTTAAATAGAGGAACGAGGAGCACACAGCAAAGTCAACAATAACTCTCTACTAAAAGAAAATCGATAATTTTTGGATAATAAACAAGCAATAACATCTCTAGCTTTAGCGTAATATAAAAGCAAGTCTTAAATCTCCGACTTAAGCAAACGAAAGAAGCAAGAAATAAATGTAAAATCTCTGAACGTTGCAAAATAAATTTAGTTTAAAATCTCCCTAACTTTTAACATGATAAAGATGCAAGTGTAAGATGTATAGACTGTGTATTCTAGTTCGAGAATACTATATAATTGTATGTTTACACCTGTACACGTTAGCAGCAGGGTCTGGGAAACACTGACACTTTGATTTTATTCATTTGAGCAGAAATATTACAATCACAAGTTTTTGCAATATTTACATTCCTTAGTTTACATTACGTTGTTAACAGTATATACTTATACATGCAGATATATAAACATAACTATACAATAAAACAGCAATATTTGCCCTAGTTTCACCATGTGTTGTCTACAATATCATGCAATAAAAAATAGATAAAAACATCATAATACAAATAAAAAAATAAATAATATACTGTATGTATTTACAATTGATTTATATTTGCAATTTGTCAGCTCGAAATGGAGTGGGAAGGAAGTAAAAACATGTAGACTTCTCCAATGTGAGATCAATTAAATGTATCTTTACTCCCACCTCATAAACATACTTCACACATGTTGTCCTATATTGCACATATGTTGTCATACATATTGCACATTCTGACATGATTCACTAGTATTGCACAGATGAGTAAAGTAAAGTGACGCTTTACTTTATTCCCAGATACTTCTGGCCGCACACCCCTATTTCTCTACACTTGAAAATTCAAAGAAGGACATTGCTCCAAATTAACTAACAAACGTGTCTTTATGTCCCCAAGTCAGGAAAGATTACTCACCACTTACCAACTGCACCCCATCTAGTAAATCCAGCCACACAGATGGTTCCTAATGGCCCTCGGATGCAAATGCACGAATGTAGTGTGCGACTGTCTTTGTGTGCGACCACCACACATTGGAATGCATGAGCCATAATGTTCCGTGGAGTGGCGATGGTGGGGCCCGTATGCAAAGTATGTAAATCTGGTGAAATGGTCCCAAGAAAAAAGGCACCAATGAAGAGGCGACCTGCGGGAGAGGGGTCAGCAGACTCATACAAGTGTTTGAATGCAAGCAATCCCAATTTGGACACGCAACACGCTTCGGGCCATTCAGCGCGGGACAAGGACAAACAGATGTCCCGGTATCACAGCCAAAGCGCCTCGTCCGATTGAGCAGCAAAAAACAAGGGGGGAAAAGGATAAGTCTGTCTGCCTCTCGCAGTGAATGGAAGTGTCCAATGAAGCAGGCGTCTAAAGTGCTGAAATGTGCAATCTCACCGGGAAAGACTTTGTTTACTCAGCGATTTAGTGCAAGTATTTACACGGTTGTCTTTGTACAGTCTTGTAACATTGCAGGGGAATAGTTATAAGTCATGACAAAGATTGAATTAACTTGCCAATTTTCCCCTGTTGCGGACACGGGGGTGGGATTATCGGACAAGCTGCCAATTGAGCCATATCTGACAAAAGCAGTGTGCCAAAATGCCTGCCTGCTCTGGGTGAGTGTTGTCCAGCAACGCTAGAAGAGGTTTGGAATCATTCTGGACAAAGCAATGGGTTTGTTAAATGGCATTGTCTGATTGTTCTGCCCTCACCTGCTTTGGATCATGAATGAGATGATCACAGCTACATGCAGACAAAGGAGTTTCTCCTGCAGAGTGGCTGGGAACTCACATTGATAGAAATATTTTGAGGACCTCAGTCACACTAGGACCCGACTGTTATGTTTGATATCCCTAAGGCCGAGAATGCCTGAGTGATGATGAGTTTGAGGTAAGGAAAGGTTCTCAAGGAATTTTGTATATGACAATGCCGAGGATACTACATCAGAAGGAATGCGAAAAAGAAACGGCAGCAACAGCAATATCTGACCACTGCAAAATAGAAAATCATGTAATTAACTGGGACAATGCAAAAATAGTAGGAATGGAAGTTCATACGTACAAAAGATAGATATGAGAGGCGATTGAAATCAAGAACTGGAAACCACTCCCCCCTCCCCTCGCCTCTCCACCAAACCAAACATCCAGCATTTTCTTTTCTTTGTCACAGCAGGGAGAGTGGGTGGCAAACGTGAAAATGGCATTTTCTGTTCAGCCATTTTAGGTTTTAGAAAATCCGATAACTCAGGCGCACTCGCAAGAAACAGGGTGAAGGGGATAAACGCATCCCATTGGTTTATTTTTATCGGTACGCTCCAAAATATTATGAATCATTTTTTGGAGACTCTGGACAATTCCATTATTATTTGAAAACACATGATAACTTTGTTTTCCCACAATATTTATAAAAAAATGCGTGTGGAAAAAATCACTGACTGCATCTTTAATCGACCAAAGTAACTATTGAACTACTATGTTTTTGTTTTCTTTAGCACTCTTTTAGTCTGTAAACAAAAACAGACACACGTCCACTGTACACAATCCAATCATTTGACCAGTGAGGGTATGGCCCCCAGAGGAATAAGTTGAGAAGGTCGCTTATCTTATCTTAAACCAATGAAATTAGAATAAAATCACCTACTGCTTCTGTAATGTCAAACAGTTCACTTTGCCTAAAAACACCTTTTCACTAATAAGACTTATTCACACCCAAAATTACAAGAGAAAAAAAAGTAGACCCGGTTGTGTGTTTTCATAGGAATGATTCACGTTGCACTGAAACAAACTATAACAGAGTTTAAGCAGAAGACAAAGTAGATAATGAGATCAGCAGGACGGACCAAAAGCTTGGAGTGGTGAAGCAGAGGCTCATTCAGCACAAAGGGTCAGAACAGAACGAAGCAGAGACGGAGACCGCAGCACGAAAATCACTGGTGTATTTAAGACTTACTCTCTGCTCCTGTGTCTGTGTATTTACCATTCCCTTCACCGCAGATTAAAACATAAACTAAGAAAAGCTTTCTAGTTATTCTCTTTTTCTATCCCCAGATCAATACAAAGAGCGTGTTTAATACAGAGATTGGGGATAAAGTTGAGAGATTGCAGAATATGACAAATATCAGAATCTGCCCAATCTCTCTGAAAGACGGTGGGACTACAAAAGACCGTATTGAAATGAATGTGGCTTTAAAAGGTTTTTACAATGCACTGTAGTCCTCTCAATGTAATCCTTTCTTCTCTGATCTTGATGGATGCTTTTGTTGAAGTACTTTTCTGTTATTGATGTGACTCTGGCAGAGATCACTGAAGCCACTGTACCCCGGACATTTACCGCCTGCATGAACGATTCTGGAATAGGCTACAACTGTTGGATATTTCCCTCCTGGTCACAGGCCACAGACTACAAACCATTATTACCATTCTATAAAAAAACATTGCTCTGCTTTGAATCACCCAATAAGTCTTAAACTTTGAGCGAATTGTTAGCAAAAGCAATCGCGCTCCTCTGCGAATCCGAGCTTTGTGACTTTCTGATTCTGTTTTGTATGTCTTTTCCACATTATTTACAACTCAACCCCTTCCAACGAACAGGGGCATTTTAGACTTTCAGCTGCAGAGTGGTTAGCACCATGTGGTGGGGGGGATTTCCATGGGCTCATTAGGAGAAATGTATATGACCCGTGGCCTGCACCAGACACGGCTGGAAGTCTGTCTCCGCGTGCCACACAAGGGGATGAGGTCAAAGATACGAACAGAGGGGGAATATTTTTCATTTTCTCCGTGACATGTTCTGTGCTTGGAACCATTGAGGTATCTGAAAATGAGTGAATTTTACAAAACATTATATATTTTAGGGGCGACAGTAGCTCAGTTGGTAGAGCATTGGCCTTTAGACTTAATGTTTCCCACTCAAAGATCAAGGCCATATCTGTGTTGAAGGAGCAGCCATCTTCCTGTGAACCCACCACCTGCAGCAGGATCAGCGAGGGACTGGTGCATTGTGAATTGGGTGGCAGCTCTGATTACCTCCCCCATAACCCAGAAATGGATAATAAAGGGATAAAAATGAAATGAAATGAAAAAAATACATATATTTTATACATAATTTCTGAACGAATGCTTGAGCACCTCTAAAACGCCCTAATGTCTTTGGACGCTGAGAAAGATTTTGAAAAGGTGGAAGGTTCATGTCTATTTTACACCATTAAAACATTGGGTTTTGGTCAGAATTGTCTCAACTGGATTCAGTTTTTGTCTGATCCACACGTTTCCATCAGGATAATCCATATTCACTCTCATACTTCCACCTTCATGGTTCTACAGGACAGGGCTTTCTGTTTCTGCTGTTTGCGCCATCATAGAACCTCTTGAAATTACACTTTGATCTAATCCAAATGTGAAGGAATGGAGAGAAAAATATCTGTCTACGCTGACTTTGTTTTATTTGTTTAAAGTCTTCTATCAACACGCTCCTAGTTATGACATTTATCTAGTTATACATGAAATATTTCTAAATGCTAATTATCGAATCCCGGTCGGAACAGGTTCTTTCTGAGTGGAGTTGGCATGTACTCCCCGTGTCTGCGTAAGTTTCCTCTGGGTGCTTCGGTTTCCCCTACCTATTGGCGACCAAACTCCTATCTCTGTGTAGAGTGAGAGACAAATGCCCAAAAACAGAAAGCGCTTTGTGACTCTGGTCTGTGAAAGGCGCTATATAATTTAGATTACTTACTTACTTAATCTTAATCTAATTCTTGCCGTTGGGGTTATGTGGACATTCTCTCTGCTTTACTCGTTGCAAAGCAGTCTACTAACACTCAACTGTACCATGCGCAGTTAGAAAAGCGCTTACCAACCTCCGGAACAAGCCGACAGCCAGACAGAGCGCCAAAGGAAGCAGAAAGAATTATATGGACCATTACTAGTGTCTGGAAAATAACAGCAGGTGGATGTTCCGTGCACTTTCCACATGGGGGATCCGCACAGGGAGGTGAGGCCTGTAAACTCGGGCTCAGCAGCCTCCGCCGAGTTAACTGCCTCCGGGACAATACAGTCTCTCCATCTGGACACAGGACGGACACGGAGACCTTTAAAAAGCATATTGATGGCCACAGGTCATTTGAATGGCTGCTGAATGCCTGTGCAACTGCAGTAAGAAGTAATAAAGTAGTGGTAATTATCAAGAACCAACATGTGCACAGAGAGAAACAATTAAGTTTTATGTGTGTTTCCAAATGTGATAATCTGAGGGAAAAACAAATGGGTTTTTAGCATCAGACTGAAACTATTAGTCATAGTGGAGGAAGTCAGGCTTTAACACAAGCACTTTAAGTAATGCTTATTTATCGTTATTATTCGTCATTTTTAAAGACCAAGGTCTCCCAAAGCGCTTTACAATGTTCAGAAATCGTTTCATTCTCTCCACACGATGAAGACGGAAGAGAGACGCCGAACATTATCTGAGGTTTGAACCATGTGCCTTCATCATGAAAAAACCTGGATTTGTTTTTAGATCCATCCACGCTGATATCAGGAACTTCTGGCACGACGCAAGCAGCAGTCATTTTACACGTCTTTTATGGATCACATTTAATTTTTAATATATTTAATGAAAAAAAAAAAAAAAATCATCTATGTTTTCAACCAAATGAGCGCAAATTGTATTCAATAAATTCAATTCACTTTTGAAAATCTGTAAATCACAACAGTAGTTATCTCTGAGGTCTTTACAAAACTGTAGATTCGTCAACACAGATCAGAGAATCAAAGAGTTCAAACTCAAGAAATGCATTGATAAAAATCACATTGAGACATTGATTAATAAGGAGCAGAGACCAATGTTCATAAATTGAAGGTTGTGGGTTCAAGCCCCCCATGAGACCTTCTCCACCGACTCCTGCTGATGTCTGCTGTCCTTGGGCAAGACACTTAACCCACTTTGCCTAAAAGGAGCGCGTGATGTTCGCTGCTTGCCTTGATGTGTATGTATTTGTGTATGTGTATGTGTATGTGTATGTGTGTGTGTATGTATGTGTATGTGTATGTGTATGTGTATGTGTATGTGTGTGTGTGTGTATGTGTATGTGTATGTGTATGCATCAAACTGAAATTTCCCCATTGTGGGACGAATAAAAGACCTACTTCTAAAAAAAATATCCATAAATGGTGAAGGTCCTGGATCCTCAAAAGCAAAACTTACAACTTCTCTAATTATAAAACTACTAAAGCGACACTTTGATAAATGTTTTTTGTTAAATTCGAAAGCCTCCAAAAAGCAGTTCGGATTAAAAAACTCTCTCTGATCCAGGAGCAGTTAGTGCACATGTGTAGTGCACATGTACAACACATGTACAACACATGTGCACAATCACAAATCAAACTATAGCTGCTCCTTGCTTCACAAACAGCAGGTGTGAAGCAGGAGAAGGCACTGAACCCACTCAGTGTGACAGAGCGATGTCTTTGATCAGATGTTTAATGCTCCCTATTCAAGTACGTTCAAACATCAAATCACATTTCTTTGCCTGTCTTTCTTGCACAAAATTTCCTTGAGCATCATTTCAAAATAAATTCATTCATTTCATTAATAACGCTGGAGAAAGTATAACTACAAACAATGACAATCTTGTGCTTTTGAGTTTTACAGTATCATTTTTTCTTACTTGGAGATGTGTTTGCAGTGATGGGTGCCTTCCTGATAATAGTCTGGAAAAACAGAACTGAGTTTGACGATGGAACGATAGATTCATCCACAATAATCTCAGGATCTAAGGCTCTAAGTGTCATGGTGAGGATTTTATCTGTATTTAGTTTTATTTTGACGTTAGTTCTCTGTGGTTTAGTTTCAGTTTTACCTTCTGTCCTGTTCCTTGTTGACTGTCTGCCCATGATGTGTTTCACCGGTGTCTGTGTGTATATGTACCTGTGTGTATATGTACCTGTGTCTATATGTACCTGTGTCTATATGTACCTGTGTGTATATGTACCTGTGTCTATATGTACCTGTGTCTATATGTACCTGTGTCTATACGTACCTGTGTCTATACGTACCTGTGTCTATATGTACCTGTGTGTATATGCACCTGTGTGTATATGTACCTGTGTCTATATGTACCTGTGGCCGTATGTACCTGTGTCTATATGCACCTGTGTCTATATGTACCTGTGTGTATATGTACCTATGTGTATATGCACCTGTGTCTATATGTACCTGTGTCTATATGTACCTGTGTGTATATGTACCTATGTGTATATGTACCTGTGTGTATATGTACCTGTGTCTATATGTACCTGTGTCTATATGTACCTGTGTGTATATGTACCTGTGTCTATATGTACCTGTGTCTATATGTACCTGTGTGTATATGTACCTGTGTCTATATGTACCTGTGTGTATATGTACCTGTGTCTATATGTACCTGTGTCTATATGTACCTGTGCTCCTCTACCCTTGTGGCTGGTCCATTGTATTGTCAATGTCTGTCCTGTTCCTTGTCCCTTGTTCTTTTGGATTTTTGGAGTTTGTGTTTCCTTGGATTATTTTTTTTTCTTCCTTAAATCATCATTTTTGACGTTCTTGCATTTTGGGTCCTCCCTTCATCTCATCCAACATGACAAGAAAGTTCTTAAGATAAAAGCCAATAAGATAAATGTAAATAAGGTAGGTCTGCTAAATTACCACATGTTTGGGCGGTATGGACTTCCACCTTCCATCGTCAGAGTCACGTGATGTTGTGACGTGTTTCTGATCAGCTGTTGTTCCCGGATGCAGTCAGTCTGATCACGAATCTGATGTTATCACATGATAATAATAATAATAATAATGATACATTTTATTTATATGGCGCCTTTATAGGCACTCAAGGTCGCCTTATAAAGGGTACACAGCTAAAAGCAAAAACAGTAAAACATATATAATTTACATGTTTTGACGGTGCACTTCCATCTTCCTGATATAGATATTATAAAGTTTACCGTCTAAATATGTCAAGACAATAACATCGATAACTTAATATTGCCTGTAGTAGAAGAACCAAAAACCTTTATAGCTTCTTTCCACTTGTGTCTTATTAAAAGAACCTTGTAAGCCTTAAAAATAAAAGAAGACAAGATGCACTTTTTACATTTTCTATCTTAAAGCTTCTGCCTCAGTCCTGTGATGTCACTGTACCACTATGACATCACACCCAGAGAACTCTTCTCCTTTTTAAGCAGTGCCTCTAAATTAGTTCTGGAAATTGCGTAAAAATACGTTCCTTACAATCACAAAAAAATTGGATGAAAAAAAAAAAAAAATGTCACACCTCCCATAGGTACAGGGGATGCCGACGGCATTATTTA